GCCCTTCCCTATATCGAAGTGGCCTGCCTGCGTCCAGTCCAGGAAGCTTCCAGTAGGCCCCAGTAGCCTGAGGCCCAGTCACGAGGAGAGCAGGCTTTGGGCCTGAAGTGGTTGCATGTGCCCAACTGCTTTCGGCCTGTGTTTGGCCCTGTACCCGTATCCAGCCCAGGGCCTGCTTCACGTACATTCACACAGGCAGCCCAGGGCCTGGGTTCACTCAACCAACTAGCGCTGCGCAACTGCCTGAATTTCCCTGAGTCGAGTGGTGGCCAAAAAAAGGCCCTGTGGACCTCGTCGAGCCTGCCTTCACTTAGGGCGGCCGACGGGCTGCAAAATGGGGGCCTTATGGGGCTCTTAGAGGCAGTAGCCTCGCATTCCCTCCTCCTTAGCTTCAACAGTCCTCTGAGAAGCTCAATCTTCGATCATAGGGCGCTTTCCCTTCTGCAGAGATCTCTCATATTGAGTTACAACTTGAGGAGCGGTCTGCATGAGCTCTTCTCTGGTGAACCAGCGGTCCTCCTCGGAACCGAACGTGGTACTGCATCTTCGGTTTTGGAGGACGTCCCCTGCCTGCTGGTCTGGATATCGGCAGCTCACTGTGATCCATAATATCATCGATGTCCACCTCTCCGTCCATGGTTGGGGGCAGCATTGAGCGACGAGATGGAAACTGGTCAGTCTCTTTGGAAGGTGCCAGCTTGGAGGCGTGAAAGACAGGGTAAGTACGGAGATGACCAGGAATCCGGATAACGTATGATGGACCATCCGGATCTGTCCCGACGATGTCCAAGACTTCCCAAGGTCCAAAGTACTGAGGCATGAGTTTGCGGGATATCCCATACTCCTGTCCCTGTTCTGAAGACTTAACCCAGACTCTATCCCCAACCTGAAATGTAGAAGGTCGGCGGTGTCTGTTTTCGGACTCTATCATCGCGGCCTGTGCCTTCTGCATCTGTTCTACCGCCTGCTGCATCTTCTGTTCATAGCGGTAAGCAAACTCTAATGTACCGGGTGCAGCAGTTGACTGATTCTCAGGAAGAAGGAAATCCAACGGTAGTCTAGGCTTGAAAGTCAGTAGCAGACTGTTTGGGCTCACCCCAGTGGCGCTGTGTACCGCATTGTTATACAGACTGGCGATGAGAGCAAGCTTCTCATCCCAGTCCACCTGGTTGGGCTTGATATAATGCCTCAACAGGTGTTGTACAGCGCGGTTCAGTTGCTCAGCCTGGCCGTTGGCCTCTGGRTGATTCCCAGAAGTCATTTGCAACYGAGTGCCCTGCTCTGCAGCAGGCTAGCAGCGGCCTTCCACAACTCGCTGGTAAACCTGACATCCCTGTCACTAACAATGGACTTCGGTAGACCAAAGTCCCTGACCCAGTTCTCTTTAAACATTCTAATCACGTACTCCGTYTTYGCTRTTTCTGGCATGGCTACTAACCTAGCATACTTACTAAATCTATCCACGATGACGAAGATGTGACGCATKCCACTCTTGCTGGTGATCAGAGTATCCATGAAATCCATGGACAGACTCTCACCAGGCCGTTCCGGAATCRGAAGGGGCTTCAGAAGCCCAAGAGAAGCTTGAGTACGTGGCTTGTCCCGTTGACAAACTTGACAAGTCTCCACATACAGCTGCGCATCTCGCATCATCGTGGGCCACCAGAACCGCTGCAGCAAGTTGGCTGCGGTCTTCTTACACCCAAAATGTTCGGTGGCATCATGACATTCGCCTAAAAACAAACTACGCAAAGACTCGCTATTTGGAACACACAAGCGTTTATTCCCTGCCTTCTCTAGGAACAGCAAGCCATTGACCAACTCAAACTCGGCGGAAGTCTTCTTGTCCTTCGCCTCAAGTCTGCGTATGATCTCAGACATAAACTGGTCCTCGCGATAGGCTTCCACCAAAGACTGAGTAACATTGTCTGTCAGATCGAACTCAGTAATCAGCGCACCTGAGAAGTCCGGTCTGCGCGACAAGGCATCAGCAACCTTGTTGTAATCCCCTTTTAGATACCGAGGGTCAAAGTCATATTGCTCAATGACTTCGATCCAACGCTTGAGAGCGTCAGAGAGTACCGTCTGGGTTCTCATCCATCTGTGGGTCTGATGATCAGTCCTGAGGATGAAGAACCTCCCAAGGAGATAGTGTCTCCAATGGGTGAGTGCCTTGTACACGGCATAGAGTTCCTTCTCATAAGTGGATTTAGCCAACTTATGAGACGACATTTTCTTGGACATATACTCTACTGGCCTCAACTTTGGCCCCTCCTGCTGCGCGAGCACGACGCCAATGCCATATTGGCTGGCATCCGTGGTGACTATGAACGGCTTGTCAGGATCAGGAAGTTTCAAGACTTCATAGTGCGTCAACGCATGCTTCAGGTGTCTGAAAGCAGCCTCGCACTTATCTGTCCACTCCCATGGGGTGTCAAGGCGGGTCAGATCAGTCAAAGGAGCGGCCACTATGCTATAGTTTTTAACAAAAGTCCTATAGTAGCATGTCATTCCTAAGAAAGATCTCATCTTAGTCACAGACCGAGGACGTGGCCAATCACGAATGCTGGCCACCTTCGCGTCATCGGGCTTCAAACCTTTCGCGGAGATCTCATGACCCAAGTACAAGACACGGGTGTGGCCAAACTCGCACTTTTCACCGTTGATCTTGAACTTGTGCTGTCGCAGGAGACTGCGGACTTTGTCCAAATGTGCAACGTGCTCCTCGACAGTTTTACTAAAAATAAGTATGTCATCGAGGTACACGACGACAAACTTATCCAAGTAGTCATGGAATATCTGATTCATAGCGTGCTGAAAGGTGCCAGGAGCATTGCAAAGGCCGAAAGGCATCACCACAAACTCGTACAGACCGTACCTGGTCTGAAAAGCAGTTGTGTGTTGATCCTCGGGCCGGATTGCAATCTGATGGTACCCGGACTTCAGATCTATCTTACTGAA